ACCGTCAGATCGCCACAGCTAACCCTAGAGGGGGAGCCACGATAGTTCTTCATAAGAGAACATCTTCATATTTTATCGCATAAATATATTTATTTACTTCTTTTTTTTCGGTATTTTGTATTTTCGTCTGTACTCGCGTTTGTTTACGGCGCACGTCACCTGTCCTTCACGGCGCACGTCACCTGTCCTTCACGGCCGTGTTTGTTTCAGACGGGAACGATCGAGGAGAAGATTCTACAGCGGCAGGCTCACAAGAAGGCGCTGAGCAGCTGTGTGGTGGACGCTGAGGAGGAGGTGGAGCGACACTTCAGCGTTAGTGAGCTGAGGGAACTCTTCACGCTCAACACGGAGACACGGAGCGACACGCACGACAGGTACGCCGTCACGTCACGACGCGACAGTAGAAATACGAAATAACGTCATACACTATATGTAGTGTAGAAATTGTTACGGGTAGAAATAATCCCGTCTGTGAAACCAGCAATAAGTGAAGATGGATAGTAATTTCTATGGCTTTATTCAACACATGGCAACAAAAATAATCAAAATACAACAAAACAATGTAGCACTCTGCACAGGCGAATATAACCACACCGTCTATAACCACAACTCAATCGTCTGACCTGGTTATAAGACAAATGGCCTTAAGTGCAGCTTCCAGATACGCCTGGTCCGGCAGAGAGGTCCCGCTGTCTCAATGTCGATAGATCAATATCTCAGATAGAATGAAGTCCCACATATAGTACTCCTTTATATTTCATTCGTGATTGTCAGCAATAACTAGTGTAGGCTTGGTGCACTAGGCGTGATAACGACAAATTTCATATTCGTGTGTTTAGAGATGTGACAGCTCATGTGTTTAGAGATGTGACAGCTCATGTGTTTAGAGATGTGACAGCTTTCTCCATTCTGTGCTGCAGGTTCAAGTGCCGTCGCTGCGTGAACGCCATCCAGGTTCGCCCGCCACCAGATGGCTCTGACTGCAGCAGTGACCTGTCGCAGTGGTTTCACTGCTGGGAGAAGAGAGGCTTGCTTGACGGCGTATTGAAGACGTGCTGGGATGCGAGCGTTGTGTCGTTTGTCTTCCAGCATCGCTCGCACGAGAAACGCATAATCACAGCCTGACTCCGCCGTAACACTTGCTCATACTATCCCTCGCTTGCTCTCTCTCTCTCTCCTCACTTTCTCTCACACACACACACTCTCACACACTCTCGTTCTCTTCTGTTCTCACTCTCTCACTCTCTCTCTCTCCTCACTCTCTCTCACACTCTCTCTCTTTCTCTCTGTCTTGCTCTCTTTCTCTCTCTTTCTCTCTCTCTCTCTCTCTCTCTCTCTCCCCCCCCCCCCCCCCCCCCCCCCCCCCCCCCCCCTCCCCCCCCCCCCCCCCCCCCCCACCCCCCGCCCCCCCCCCCCCCCCCCCCCCCCCCCCCCCCCCCCCCCCCCCCCCCCCCCCCCCCCCCCCCCCCCCCCCCCCCCCCCCCCCCCCCCCCCCCCTCCCCCCCCCCCCCCCCCCCCCCCCCCCCCCCCCCCCCCCCCCCCCCCCCCCCCGCCCCCCCCCCGCCCCCCCCCCCCCCCCCCCCCCCCCCCCCCCCCCCCCCCCCCCCCCCCCCCCCCCCCGCCCCCCCCCCCCCCCCGCCCCCCCCCCCCCCCCCCCGCCCCCCCCCCCCCCCCCCCCCCCCCCCCCCCCCCCCCCCCCCCCCCCCCCCCCCCCCCCCCCCCCCCCCCCCCCCCCCCCCCCCCCCCCCCCCCCCCCCCCCCCCCCCCCCCCCCCCCCCACCGCCCCCCCCCCCCCCCCCCCCCCCCCCCCCCCCCCCCCCCCCCCCCCGCCCCTCCCCCTCCCCCCCCCCCCCCCCCCCCCCCCCCCCCCCCCCCCCCCCCCCTCCCCCCCCCCCCCCCGCGCCCCCCCCCCCCCCCCCCCCCCCCCCCCCCCCCCGCCCCCCCCCCCCCCCCCCCCCCCCCCCCCCCCCCCCCGCCCCCCCCTCTCTTTTTTTTCTCTCTCCTCTCTCTCTCTCTCTCTGCTCCTTCACGTGTTGTTTCCCCTCACAACTCTCTTCGGTTCTCTCGTGTTTCTCGCACTCTCTCCTCTCTCTCTCCCCTCCTGGCCCTCCCTCCGCTGATGTCTCCTTCCATCTCTCTCAGCCGTGTTCGCCTCTCTCTCTCTCCTCTCATGGCTTCGCTCCTCCCCCTCCTTTCTATCTCACACACACACTGTCTCTCACAGACACTAACACAAAATACTCGCATAATATAATGTTGGGTGCTTACAACCATAAACACTTTTCCTGATTCACATCTAAAATTTTTATCTATGATCATTCTACTGTCAAGGCAAACCATTTTTATTGATATCCTTAAATAGCATTTCTATAAGCACCTTATTGTATCTGTTGCTTACATTGTCTTTGTACAGTTTCGGTTTCTTATGTTTATAGTAAATTGCCTGCATGGAAACAATTACAATTGTAAATAAAAATGTACCATTGGTGTATATGTGTATTATATGCATATGATCTCTGCAGAGTATCTTTACTCGTTCTTGGCAGTGGGAAACAACTTTTGGTATGTCTTTCAAGACTGAAAAGAAAATCCTTTGCACTATCAACTCTAAATCACTCTCGAATTTTACTTACTTTACCATAAATATCTGTCTCACAACCCTACTTACAAATTTTTTGGTGCCATTTCTAATAGCTATCTTGCACACATTGATTATATTTGTAAGAAAGCGTGTCAATCTTTCTGTATGTTATGCCAAAAATTACCTTTGCCGATTCAATAACTCTGTCCCTGCATTTAAAAGAAATGATTCTCCTAAAGTTATAATATCAAGAGCGTATAAGCCTTCTTTATACGCTCTTGATAATATGCATTGCCAGGCCAGTTCCCCGATACGCTTCAGAACTGTGCAAACTAGATATCTTACATCAAAGCTGCCATATGGGTAACTAAATGTTATCATGATAGTTCCGAGGTTTGTTCTTAGTTCAGCATAATTGAACTTCTCTTGGTAACTAACTACATACTACATGCAAAACAGAAGCTTTTGTAAGATTTCTTATGCTGGTGTGAAAATCCGTCTTGTTTAATGAAACCCATCCTTTGTCCTCATTCATCACTGCTGATCACTGCTTTCATTTAATAAGTGATAACGTCTGATCAGTGATCACAGCTTTTACCACGTGTCGTCTTTGAAGAATCCCTTCAAGTTTAGTTTTTTGTTTCTGTCATTCCATATTAAAATGCTCTTCCTTCTTCTCTAGTTAATTGTAAAATTTTAATTTTTTTTTCCTGCAATCAGCAGTGTTGGCGTCCTCTTTCAGACTCTCCTTTCCTAGGACTTTGAAGATGAATCATTATTTGATTGTATTATTACTTTCATTTTATTATTTTACGAAATTTTATTATCAAAAGATGGCGCTGCGAGTCAATTTTCGTCCGTGTTCAACACTCAATAAGCAAGTTGTTCGTGAAAATCAAGTAAAAAAAATTATGTGAAAGTTTTCGAACATATTGGTGCGCATTCATGCTAGCGGCTGCCCCAGTCCCGCCCTTTCTTTCGGTGTTGAAAACAACGTACTTTTCTTTTACTTATACCCTTAGTAGCAAGTGCCAGTGCCTTAATTTTACGTACCCCCCCCAGCTGAAAAAAAACGATTAAGCCCGAGGTAACAAAACATACTTCCTTCGGCTAATTTAGATTATAATGTGTTCTTTTCATTGTATAAAAGAGAAGCCATGACAAGCATGCAATTTTTGTTTCAGAATTATGTGGATCAATATTTGTGTATTGCTGCGATTGGAATAGTGAAATCAAGTCCGAGACTGACGCAAAAACGCTTTTCATCGCGCTTTATTTCTAATCTCTAGTTCATTTGTTAGCCAGTCTGAATGTTAGTAAAAGTATGTATGTAAAGCATATAAAATACGATGTAGGCTAATGATGTCCATACATGTCTAACAGTTGCAAAGCAGGAGTTATGGATATATTCCTACCCCTGTAGCAATACATCAGCCGCCCTACAGATATATCCTACAATATATCCTACCCCCCGTCAGATTTTCTACAACCAGTTCAAACCGGCAAAAGACGAGTGAGACCATGCACCTAGCAGATACAACAGGAGGAGTTTATCAGGCTTCCGCATCAATGAAACGTTGGCCATCCGTCTGAAACACAAAAGGATTCCACGTACCATGCGACAAAACTGACGCAGTACATGAAATTCCTTCTTTGTCCGCACATGATACAGGGAAGCACACTGAGTGACCGGCAACAGTAGTAACTGCGACGGGCTGAGCGCAATTAACATCTAAGCGTCAGCTCAACATCAAATTCTTAAATAATTAGCACCTTTCCCGATTCGTTTCCCTCGATGGGCCAATTTTGGATACTGCAAACCATAGCTGCAACGTACTGCAACAGAAACAGAAACACAACAGAACAACTGCACGACAGATGGCGCTCTCGGCTCTCGCTCTCCTCACTGAGTGATCTGAGTGGACGATGAGCGCACAGCGCCTCTTGCTCTCTGGCGGATATCAGCGACGAGCATCTGACCACGTGACCGAGGGCATTGCATGGTGCCTGTGGATATGTGAGAGTGTTTTGTGGGAAGCGGGCTATTCTCTACATCATAATGTGCTTAATGATGAGTCATTTGATTGTAGGCGACAGTCAGCTGTGCTGTTAGGAAAGATCCCAGGAGGGCAGGAAGGCGTTTGAACTGGGAATTGGCAACAGTTCGAGCAGGAGCAGAAGGCGGCCATATATCTTGGCCCTTGCTTCCATCGGTAAGTCGAGGCATTCATGTGGGTCACTAGCGCACTCACTGCCCAGCTGCAGCTATGGGGCACTGCACGCGTTAGGCTGTAGCACAGACAATTGACAGATTGCTCGCGCGTCATTCTGTAATTATCGATTTGCGTGTTCGCTCCGACCCGCCCCTTGATTATCGTGGTGACTGTATAACTTGCACTTGTTCCACGAATTCATTACAGGACGCAAAGATGGAGGCTCAAATGAGATAGTGGATACCATAAGGTAAGGTCACTGCAATTTACATGTACTACTACTACTACTTAGTCACTACTACTAGGCCTAATTAGTATTACTATTACTATTACTAATACAATTACCTGTACTTATTACTACTATTGAGTATTAGAACTCGGTGAATTATGGATGACTGATCTGAAATAGTTCATCAATTATAATCACTGGCACAAAAACAATGCCGCACCCTGCAGCTACAGCACACAGCATCTATTGACCTATATATAACACTATATATAACAACTTCCACATATATAATTGACTAATACGTGTTATATATAAGGCAATAGATCGTGTGTGTTGTATGCTGGCAGGTGGCGGACTTGTGTCTTGCTGCAGTGATTATAACGGATGCGCCCACTGTCCCATTGTGACATGTAAACAGTATATATGCAGCTTCATTCCATCCTCAGTGCAACCGAGGTCAGGTGTTGAAATGTACAATAGAAGTTTCAAGACTGTAATGGTTTTGTATAAGGTTCAGTATTGATTGCTAATGTTTTAGAGAGTAAGATGCATTCAATAGCGCTTTCACAGTATCATAATATTTCAGAGCAAATAATGTATGCGGCGGTAGATTCTAATCGAGATTTATACTAAGAACTCAATATATTCCTAAACCGTGTGCATTAAAACGTATGGCATGAAAACGTATGCTATAAAACGTGTGCTCAAAACGTGTGCATAAAATCGGTATGCAAAAACGTATGCATAAAACGTGTGCAGTAAAACGGTGTGGGCATAAAACGTATGCATAAAACGTGTGCATAAAACGTGTGCATAAAATGGTTCACAACTTGATTTGTAATGAGGGTGCTGGGCAACAGCTTGTCTGGCCTTCCCTGTGAGATCCAGATGTACTATAAGTGTAATAGCAGCGATATTGTGCGATGATGCACACAGGTGCACCCATGCCTCACGCACCTATAATATCAATCTTTCCCTATAATTTAATTCGATAAGAATCTCTAGTGCCGACCCGGTAATGTTTTGCGTAAACTCTGTAAACAATTGCGAGCCGACGTTTACGTGCAGCGGTGGAAAGTGAAGTGGCGTTCGCGCGTGGTTCCCACACAATGCTGCTGGTAATAGCTGTGACACGGTGTGCACGCCGTGAGGGTTGGCTACATTCCAGCATTGTAGCGTCGCGTCTTGCTAGCTGACGCGCGGCCACGGATCACCGGCCGGCGATCGCCCCGCGTCCGTCTCGCTGACACCGCGAGCGAGCGGGTCCTGGGAAAACCCGCGTCGCCGCGTCCCCTCATTCACGAAGCGCACAGCCTCTGAAGCTTCCCCGACAACCGCCCCCACCCCCCCGTGCTCGCCGCGTTGCGTGGCGAGCCACCATTGTCGCGGCGACGGCGTTGTTTACGGATTATCGCGCCTGTGGTTGTGACCTCGATGTTCGGCTTGGGTCGCGGATATGGTGGTGTGCCAAAGACGGTCAATGCTGGGTAGATGTGCACGTGTGTGTTAAGGCCCCCCCCCACCCGCACACGGTGAGATTCGTGCTGAACACGGAACGTGAGTTTCGTGCTGAGTGTGCGGGGTCGACTCATGTGAGTTTTCGGTCTCGCGAGGCGGGGAGGAAAATATCTGTTGTCGTGTTTGATCATTTTAGTCTCGCGAGGCTGAAAACTCAGCGTGTGCCGGGGTGTGAGATTCCTGCCGAGCACGAAACTCACGCTCCGTGCTCGGCACTAACCTCGCCGTGTGCGGGGGCCTTAACGTGCGTGCGGACGTGACAGAGAGAGGCATAGAGGTGTGTTCTGCAACACGTGCTCGGCTGCAAACAGACACAACAATGACATTTACGTCACGTCATTCATAAGTCTGAGTGTAGCCTCCTGCGGAGATCGTGATTCATATATTTATATGTCATATACCCCGGAACCCTCATGGGGAAATATGTAGATTATATATTATAGTTGGCCTAGCATTTTATTGTTTCCCGCTGGGTTACTTGTAGGGTTTTAGTGTATATACGTATATCTTACGTTCAGGATTTAGTCTGTAAGGCTGTTTATGTTATTGTCGTGGTGACGTAGAAACTGCCATTTTTAATTTGTTTACTGTTAAACTTGCTTAAATCCCACTTTGATCTATTTCTAGCCTCTGCATGTTGTGGTCACTGGCTGTGTTTATATTTTCGCTAACGTGACGTAAACACTTGTTGTTGTTTACTTCTGTGTGTTGCCATAATGTACACAGTTGTTGTTGTTTACTTCTGTTTGTGTTGCCATAATGTACACGGTAGTTTGTGTTACCCTAATGTACATGGTTGTTTGTGTTGCCATAATGTACACGGTAGTTGTTGTGTACTCGTGTGTTTGGTGATGTATCCTACTCTATTGTGTGTATACATCTGTTGCTTTCCGATTTTTCTAGGTGGGTTTGTGAAGACTACCCAGAAATGAAACTGGCCATGCAGAATCACATACTAAATGACTATGACACCAAGAGGTAAGGGTGCTCTACCACGTTCCACTTTCACCTTGCATCAGTGCACGATGCTATGTCGTGCTTTAGTCATTGAATTGTGAGCTGTGGGTAACGTCCCCATCACATGAATAATTCAGTGTCAGTATGTGTTCGCTCATATTACAACTGTACGAATACTGGGTATTTGTACAAATACTGGATAATTCAATGACGTAAATGTTTTGCTTATTTTTTTCTGCACAGCTACGAGAGCATGAAGAATCTGTGTGACAAATATAACAGAGCAATAGCCAGCATCAGACAATTGGTGAGTTGGTGGCGAGCGCTTATAACATGTACTGCAAGCTACGGCATGCTGTATATAACATGTGCTGCAAGCTACGGCATGCTGTATATAACATGTGCTGCAAGCTACGGCATGCTGTATATAATTCAGCCAACATCAATTCTAAAATAATTAGCCCTTTCCCGATTCCGTTTCCTCGATCCCAATTTTGGATACTGCAACCATAGCTGCAACGTACTGCAACAGAAACAGAAACAGAATCAAACTGCACGACAGATGGCGCTCTCGCTCTCGCTCTCTCACTGAGTGATCTGAGTGTACGAAGTTAGCGCACAGCGCCTCTTGGCTCTCTGGCGAATCAGCGACGAGCATCTGACGTCACGTGACCGAGGGCTTGGCATGGTGCCTTTGGTGGATATGTGAGAGTGTTTTGTGGGAATGCTGCTATTCTCTACATCATAATGTTGCTAATATGATCATTTGATGTAGGCGACAGCAGCTGTGCTGTTTAGGAAAGATCCAGGAGCAGGATGGCGTTGGAACTGGGATTGCACAGTCCGGCAGGAGCAGAGGCGGCCATATATCATTGGCCCCTTGCTTCCACGGTAAGTCGAGCATTCAGTGTCACTAGCGCACTCACTGGCCCCAGCTTGCACTATGGGCACTGCACGCTGTAGGCTGTAGCACAGACAATTGACAGATTGCTCGCGTCATTCTGTAATATCGATTGCGTGGTTTCGCTCCGACCTTGATTATCGTGTGACTGTATAACTTGCACTGTTCCACGAATTCATTACAGGACGGCAAAGATGGAGCTCATGAGATAGTGGATACCATAAGGTAGGTCACTGCAATTAGTATTACTATTATTACTATTAGTATTACTATTATTATTACTACTACCACTACTACTACTATTAGTATTAGTATTACTCGGTGAATTATTGGATGATCTATCGAATAAGTTTATAATTATAATCACTAGCAGCAAGAACAAGTCCGCACCTGCAGCTACAGCACACACGCATCTATTGACTATATATAACAACTATATATAACAACTATATATAACAACTATATATAATGACTATAACGTTGTTATATATAGGCAATAGATGCGTGTGTGTTGTAGCTGCAGGTGCGGACTTGTTCTTGCTGCCAGTGATTATAACGTGATCCCCACTGTCCTCATTGTGACATGTAAACAGTATATATGCATGCTTCATTCCATCTCTCAGTGCAACCGAGGTCAGGTGTGAAATGTACAATAGAAGTTCAAGACTGTAATGGTTTTGTATAAGGTTCAGTAGTTGATTGCTAATGTTTTAAGAGTAAGGTGCATCAATAGCGCTTTCACGTTATCATAATATTCAGAGCATATATTGTATGCGGCGTAAATTCATATCAGATTTATATACTAAACTCAATATATCCTAAAACGTGTGCATAAAACGTGTGCATAAAACGTATGCATAAAACGTGTGCATAAAACGTGTGCATAAAACGTGTGCATAAAACGTGTGCATAAAAC